TGATGTCTACTGAGCAGATTCTCTTCCTAACAAATCAGAATTCTAAATTATTCTACCTGCAAATCATAGTTTTCTTCTCCATTGTGATAAGAAGGAAGGCAGGAAGAAAGGCAGGCAGGCAGGCAGGCAGGAAGGAAGGAAGGAAGGCAGGACCATAGGAATAAGTATAATACAAGTATCTCTTTTTTAAAATTACAGCCCTTGAAATAACCACCCTACCTTGCATTCTAGTTTGTGCAGAAAAGCTGAAAACTACAAGAGATGTTATCTAAACATTACTGCTGATTAGAGCTGAGACCTACAGCCAGTGCTGCTGATCTGCGTATTGGTAGAATGCTGCATGACACAGAAGCAATAGCAGGTATATACATGTAGCACAAGCAGATGTGGAACTACAGGTAGTAGCAAGATATTCAACATCTACAAAATGAATGGGACGTTCAGATGTAATTTGCTGCTGTTTAACCTAACAATTCATAATATTCATAAATGGATTTTCTGTGCTCCAGAGTATTTTTTTCTTCATATTAAAAGACAACAAGTGTCCATGTCCCCAAGATCATTCCTGCCTTTCATGACAAAATTAGGGCTTGCTACAATGTTTTAGACATCTAGCTTCAGTATGTTTACAGGCATCCAGCGGGGAATTGGGGTGTAGAAAGGGAATGAAATAGTCAAGATTAGATGAAAATGAAATGGGGAGAACAAAAGTGTGCGCTGTAAAGGTTCCAGGGTCAATTGCCAAATCTGCCAGAAATTGAACATTTTCTGCAGAAAATGTTCAATTTCTGGCAAATTTGGCAGTTTCAGATTTGTACAATATGTTATTGTTTATTGCCCAATGCTGTTTCTAGCATTCCAATAAAGATTATTTTTCTCCATGCATTAAAGCTTTTAGTTTCTCTGAATATATAATGGGAACCTCATAAAATAGATTAGATTTTTTTTTCAACATCAAATAATGTACCTCAAATTCTTGCATAAGCTCTAGATATTGAAATGAATATTCTAAATGAAATCATACTTACCTACATAGGGAAATTTTCCAGAACATTTTTCTATTTAAAGCTTTCTGGAAAACCCTTATCTGTATGAGGAGAGATGATTCTTAAAGGTTTCTGACACTCATAATTTATGGGGAAAAGAACATTAATTTCTTCCTTGTGGTGGAAAGGAATTGAAGAATTATCTTAGGATAGTATCCAAATTTCAAAATTGCAGAATTGTACCACCATGCAGTATCCTTCAAAGTTCCTACAGGAATTACCCAAAAAATCTTTTTGGCTTTGAGAGCCGCATTAGTCACCAAGTGAGATTCATGTAAGAAAAATGATGTAAGAAGGTTTTCTGCTTCTTTCAGCACCTCTACTTGCATTTATGATTTTGAGTAGGAGATTATGAATGAATAAGCTGTAGGCCAAGGCTTGGAAGAGAACTGGATTCTGTCTATCTTCTCATCAGTTTTATAATTAACTTACTGAAATCTCAGGAACTCCAGGAATAATTCAGACAAAGGAAATATCTTTTTCAGGAAACAGGTACCACTAAAAAGACTGGTAAAAACATTTATCTAGGAATGTTGTATTGTTTAATCTTTGTTTTACTATGCTGTAGTAAAGTAAAGAAAGTCTTATTTCTCTGTACTAGATTAGGAATTATATTTTAGATTGCATCCAATTATTTTATTGTTAGCATCCTTAAATCATTTTTCCCCTCCCCCCCCCCCGCTTGTGCCCTGTAAGATACTGAGTTGGGAGCTTTTGACCATAGCAATTGACCACCTTCTGATCTAGCAGGAGGGTTACAGAACAATTTTAAGAATTTTCCTTTTTCTCTGGATGTCAAATGAGACATTCCCTGGAAGATAAGTGGGTTCAGCTAATCTTCCAAACAGGGTTATTAGGAAGGGAAAGGGTTAGGGTTAGCAGTCTTATTTGCTAATGTCAATGGCACTTGGAAACTATTAATCTGGACTTCCAGGGAAGGTATAGCGAATTGAAGATGGATCTGGGAAAGTGGAGCCAATGATCGAGGCAAAGACCAAGGAACCAGTGAGTAGATTGGTTCCTTGGAACCTCTCCAGATAAGGATTGGACGGGAGATTGCCCATATGCGCTCTGGATGGCTGCTCCTCGTAAAGAGACCAGATAGTGGTTTTCCATGGGTTTGAGTGCTGGGAGACGATGGGATAAGTCATCTTGCTTGCAACCATGGTGGAGACTTTTAAAGGACACTAAGTTCTCAAACCTCACTTTCTAATCACCTTCGGAAATTGCTCATTAACTACTTCTAAGCTATTAGAGACCTTCAGAACAAGTTTGAAAATGCAGGGTGAGTCTGCCTTCAATCCTGAACAAAATAATATTTTAATCATAAGCTTAAGAATTTAAAGAGTCTGAAATAAATAGCAAAAAGTAAGATGTTGATCTTAGAAAGTTATAAATGGGCTAAGGGTCCAGATAAAATTGGAATATTAAAACTTTTACAATAATATTTTGGAATTAATTTTAAAGAACAAACAGCTTCTTGTGGGAAATAGATTCTGTTTTGGTTTTTATAAGATACAACAAAGATAAGCAATTTCATGATTTCAAAAACTGGACACTAGAGGGGACTAAAGTTTTTAGATACAGGAAAGATTTACAAGCCTGTAAAACGTTGCAAACCATAACAATGAAAATATTGAAGGAGACTTTTGAAGAATGGAATCAGAAAATAGCAGCCACAATATCAACAGTGTCAGTAATGGTGTCTGCTTCTATGGATAGATTCTGTCCAAAAGATAATATTGAAGAAATGTCAGATGTAGAATAAATTCTATCTGACAAGATAGAGATGGTAGCAAAAGTGTATTTAAAACTGACAGGCAAAGATAATGACTTAGAAAAGGACACTTCACTGGATCTACAAAAGAAACTGGCTGAGGTTTTAAAATTTAAAAAGGAAATACAAATGACAAACCAAGAGTGACCTGGATAATTTTTTCGTATTGAATTTACAAAAGAGGCTTGTTAAGGCCTTGAAGAACTCTGTGCAATGGGACAAAGAAGAAATGAAGAGAAATCAAGTCCTATGACAATATTTGAACAAACTAAAGATTAAGTCTGTTAGAGGTAAAAGGAATATAAATTGATTTATTTGATCAAGATATGTTGTTACATCTGGCAACTCTTTATGCACTTTCTGCTGATACCAGAACTGAAAAGATGATGTTTTATGCATTTTTTTAGAGATAAGAGATGGGATATGGGATGAAGAGATAAATGTTTGTAACCTTAGAGGGGATAAAGAGTCACTAAATTTGTTTATACTTGTTATGAAGGTTGGAAATTATTTCTTTATGTATTTCTTTTCTCTTTATTATATTCTTACTTTTCTTTTTTCTTCTTCCTATTCTCTTAAGTTTAGTTTGTATTAGATTTTACTATTATAATCAAAATTCTTAATCAAAATTATATATATGTATGTATGTATATAAAGGAAACTATTAATCTGTACAATCTGTACCCTACTGGCCAGTTGATCAGCTAGCCCCCAGGAAAAGTCATCAGGTCCTCTTCAAATTTCCCTTTTTCCACCTATGGGCCATGTGTGACCAATAAACAACAGGTCGTCTACTGTACTAAATGGTACGGTTGGGTTTATACAATATGCTATTCCATGGGTAACCAACAATGGTTTACTGAATTAACCATTATGTGCATATGCATTAAACAATGTGCCACAAACAAGCTGATCACCTGTTAGCCTCACACCTTGGGTGAAACCAGCCCATCTATGCCTCAGGAGCCCCTTATCAACAGCTTTACTTGTAACAACTGATAAGAACTTCCAAGGCTCACTCCTTTGCCCTCATTAGCCCTTTCTTGTTTCTCATGGGCGTTCCTTATACAACAATCATTCTCTAATCTGGAGCCAAAGGTTGTGTTGTCTAAGATGTATGGGGAATATGGTCTAATAGGGCTACATGACCTGACATGCAAAAATCCAGATGAACCCTAAACAGTAAGAGATACAGAAAACTGTGTATAGTTGAAGCTTTCTGGAATGCCCCAGGCTGAAGAAAATAACGTTTCAGCTCATCCCAACTGAGGACAGCAGACACTAAAACCAAAACAAAGAACGCCACTACGCTTTGCATGGTGTGAAGCCAGCCATGGGTTAAAGCCGCGGTTAGGCAAACCATGCTTTAGCGGGACGCATGAACCAGAATTTTCCTTTAGAACTGGCGACAGCTCCAGAGGTATCCGGCGCGCGCCTCGCCACTTCTTGGAGCGGCTCCGAGTTACGTCCTGGACTTCTAACACCGTTACATCTGGGCGTTGCGGAACTGCACCAGGCAGAGCTCTGGGCTGCCGAACGGGCCTTGCCATTCTCGGTAAAAGGCGCGGGCGTCGGAGCCCTCGCCTTCCACGGCTAAATTAAGAGGATTGGACACCGAGAGGAGTGGGCGGAGTGCCGGGAGTGCAGTCCCTTGAGAAGCGGCCCAGCGACTTTAGCGCTGACAGAGGTGAACCGACCGCCTGGACCGGGCGCCCATGAACTTGCTGGAGGAGCGGCGGCGAAGGTGGCCGGAGGAGTTCTGCGCCCCTGAGCCCGAA